CCTAGAAAAAAGGCAGCATGGCTTCTCTATAACTCTCAGGAACACTTCTCATTCCCTTTCTGCATGGTCTTTGTTGTATTCACACTCAGGGATGGACCACCCATGTGTGCAGCAGCAGCCCTTGTGGAGAAGTTAATGCTCACACCCTGAACATTCAGTTCTCTCAGTCTGAGACTGTCTAGGTCAGTTCATCCATCTGTTACCTTTCGTACACACCCCCCAGGCAATGGCCCCTGAATGCAAGGCTTTTAGGTATTTTGATACTAGTCAGTTTTAAGAAAATAAACAGCTTTGGGGAAAACTGGGTGCATTTATTGGCTGCTTATTATATATTCATTATTCCTGAGTTAAATGCTTAATAGAATATAAATAGTTCTCACTTGAGAGATTTATTTAGTCATTCCATCTCTTTAAAACTTCCTGAATTGATAATGCTTTCAGAAAATGATACAATATGGCAGATACAAAGAGTCCCAGGGACACAATAGTAATTTGTGTTCCTTACTTACAGAGGGGAGAATAAGTGGGCAAAGGGCCTTTTTCTATTAGTGACTATAACATTATTGCAGACTATTCACTAGCTTCTATATGTAAATTTGGGACATGATGGAGGGGTATAGCTCCTCTGTATAGATGCAGCTCCCATTTTATAGCATAGTTGATGATAACAGTGACAGAGTCTGGATTTTAGCCACCCCCCGCCCCATGTCTGGGCAAGCACACAAGCAGATGTGAGCAACCGTACCCAGAAGTACTAGTGACTGGAGCAGAAAGTAGTTGGACAGTAATCCAGAGCATTTTTTTTTTGATGTGGATAACTATTCCCTACATTCCCTATGTTGCTTAAGATAGCTTCTTTCTTTTGTTTAATACAAATTTGGAAACTAACTTGAGGATAATGTAATTCTAACTTCAACAGGTGTATTTTCTGTCTTATCTGTGGCAGAGGACTAAGTTTTGGTCTTCTTTTGTTTTGCTGTTGTTGGGGTTTTGGGTTTGTTGGTTTAGTTGGTTGGTTTGGTTGTTTGATTGTTTGGTTGTTTGGTGTTTTGAGACAGAGTTTCTCTTTTTAACAGCCCTAGCTCTCCTGGAATTCATTCTGTAGACCAGGCTGGTTTGAAATTCACAGAAATCTGCCTGCCTCTGCCTCCTGAGTGCTGGTATTAAAAACATGCACCCCAAGAGTGCATGTGTTTTATTGCATACACTCTTGACATTCTATGATGGGGCTGTCACTGCTTTCCCTATTATATAATTATAAGATGACTCTGGTTCACAATCACTTTACAGATGTTTAGGTTCTACTGAAAATACACATGCTGAGACCAATAGATCCTGTTATTTTAAAGTTTGTTCTTAATCAGTGTGTTACCAGTGCTAGTGCTAAGTTTACCATGGATTTTAATAACATGTTATTATACTAATCAATACACATTTGGGAAGTTTTAGATTTACTATTTTTGGTTTGTATTTTAAATGATCTCATCGCTTTCATTCTGATAATTATCTTACTTCCCATTCAATTAATTGTTATAATGGGGTACTTTTCAAACTGGGAAATAAAAATCGGAGCATATGCTAAAGTTTTTTCCCCTGCTTATGTGGAAACTGTGGATAACTTTAAAACAGCTGAAATATAAGTTAAATATTCAGCACCTAATCATATAAAATATGGTTCCTCATTGTTCAGCCCTGGGCTATTATTACGTCCCCTTCAAGCACACAGGCATTGTTTCAGCCATCAAACTGGGTACTGATGAAACAGTTTCCTTAGAAGTGCATAGTTTGGTAAAGAGGATGAGGACCACATCTTAGATCCATGAAAGACTTGTGGTCATTTTAAAAATGTTATCCTCCTCTTGCTCACTCAGCACAAAGAATAATATTAGTATCAATGGAAGTGTCAATTATTATTTCAGAGATGGCCCAACGGTGCCTCTTTCATTCTCTATTGTACAACTTTATCAGTTTTAATATATTTTAGTATAATTTTTGTTTCATGTTTCTATTATCATATGGCTAATACTGCTGCAGTATTAGCCTGCCTTCATTGGCCTTCCTGGCCACACATAGTAGAATATTTTTTTGTGTGCTTGTTTTGGTGGATTTTGAAATCACAGTCATTAGAACAGGGCAGGAGGATTTGTATTGGAAGTGTTCTGTCTTTTAGGTTGAGAGCATGTTTGTTCAAGCCAGTGAGACCTTGGCTTTCCTATGTACTCCCTCAGAATCAGTAACAGAGGATATTTTTTTTTATTCACAGCAATGTTCTTACTCCTTAATGGTGAGTCACAATCTCTTTTTAGAACACAATATGGCAAGGTTCTACTTTCCGCTGATCTTCTCACATGTGGTGATATCACTTCCACAGTAGTGTCATATCCCTGGACCTAAATATGCAACTCAACTGAGTATAAAACCCAACACTTCCTCTTCTCACAGACTGTTATTCATTGTTTTGTTTTTAATCTGTGTTCTTTGACCTCTGAAGAATTTTTGTTTGTTTGTTTGCAAGTTTAAGCATACTTTGGCAAAGTTATTTGTTATAATATAAACCAACATTCTTGGGTACAAATGTAAGAGTAGTTAGTGTTTTAGCTAGCTATGTCATATTAACAACTCATCATGGTTTATTCTGGTGGGAATTTCTCTTTTCAATATTTTGGTACATGAAGTGAAATAGACCTATGTAAGTTCTTTAATGATTCCTCAACAAATGAAATTTAACTGGCATCCCTCATACATATTCATATGTATTCTGTAATTCCTTCCTTTGCAATGGTAAATTTGCATATTTGTTTATCTTCCTATAGCTTCTTTTCTGAAATATTGACTTTACAGAGCATATATTTACTCTTGACCACTATCACTCCTTTTCCCCTTTGTATTTACATACATATGCAAGGTTAGCATTATTAGTCAGTTCATATAACCTAACACATTTTAATTCTTTAAACGTTGATGATAACTACAGTACATTTATTTGTAGCTTTAGGCTTGAAATTTTATTTTCAAATCTGTGTTATCATTTAAAAGGATTTTTTTTTACAAATGTAATGTTCATATTATTATATAAATTCTATGCAAAATTCTGAGTACTACAATTACTTCTACCTGTATATTTTAGGAATGTTTTAAAACCTAAGATCTATATATTGACATGCATAGTGTTTCTAAAAAAAATGATCTCAAAATTTAGATAGTGGATATAGATCTAGGTCAGCTAATCTAAAAATTTCAAACTGGAACATGCATAAAAATAAGACTAGAATATAAAAAAGTAAGAAAATATTCTTTGCATTCTCACAAGAACTAAAAGAAAATGCATGCTCTACAAACAGGAAAGAAATGTTGGGAATTCTTTCTCAGTTCAACCAGCAGATGTCATGTTTGGGTGTCAGTGCCCAAAACTGTATTCCTGTCATGACTATGTGTATATTACAAATGAAAGAGAATAAATATAGAGTATCAAGGAAGACATTTCATGTGTGTTTTTAAAAACTATAGAATATCTATAAACACGACAGCATTTATTACCAACAAATACTATTTATGTACCATGTATATCTTACCTCCTCTTTAATCCTTAGATAGCATAATTATTCAATTAAAAGGAAGTATTATCAAACTTTATTTTTAAATCAAAATTAAGATCTTACTGTGTCTTATTATTTGTTTGTATCATTATTATTTTTGCACACCATTGATATTTCTGCTCTAACTCAGCATTCCTTCATCTGTCATATGAGCTATTCAGTTATCTCAGAAATGTTCTGACAAACTGCTCCAGGAAAATTATAAGCAATTCAATTTATTCATAGAATGACTTCACTTTTAGTTAGTCACAAAGTAACATCATAATACCATAACAATTGTCATGAATTGAGCAGATTAAAACAATAAAATCTATTCTCACTGAATACTATGGTCAGAAGTCCAAGATGAGTATGAAAAAAAGCCAAGGCCAACACCAAGACAAAATTAATTCTGGGTTTCACAGGACAATTAAAAAGAACCTACATACACTATACACTACTGATGTTAGGACTTTAATACATGTTACCAGAATTCAGATATTTAATGCACTTTCTTTAATTTTACTAGCAAATTGGAGAACATTGAATTCCTCTCATATGTAAACACCAAGGAAGTTCTTCTGGGTAATGAATATTTTGCTTAATGTTTCCAGTTTCACTAATTTGTTGTGGGATTGGAGCTTGATAAAAGTATTTCATATTGATTCTTCCAAGTTTTAAAGCTTTAAATCTTATCTTTTAGACATACTTACTAAAGGAAGCACAAACACAAGTTTTCTTTTTATCAGCCCCCCCCCAAAAGAAGTTGATCATGTGTCTCCTACTGCACCTCTTTGATGATACTTTTCATCATTTTTTTTCACTTTTCTTTCTCTTCTGTGCTTACTCTCTCAAATTCAATAGCTCTTATCTTCTCATTGTTTTTATCCATGGATTGTATCAGTTCTCAGAACTTAATTTTCTTTTCTCAGCGTTCGATCTCTTCAGTAATCCCCTCATTCTTGGCACTCTAATTTCTATGAGTATGCCTTAAGCTGGCAAGACCATACCTCCAATTCTTACTGCTCCCTTATTCCAGTCTTGTTAAACCCTACTACATACTTGATATGTCCAATTTATCACTCAAGTTGTTTAAAAACTTATCTTCCTGAATATCTCTCCAAAAATCCAATTTTTCAATAGCTCTCTGTTTCTGCTGGTAGAAATTTCATTCTCACGGTTGCCTAGCCCATAACTTTGGCTTTGTCCTTGACTCTCCTTTTCTCATCCTGCCAGCCAAGTCAACCCTTCATGTATCTATTCTCAAAACCAAGCAGGAAATGGCTTTAACTTTAATAATAAGACTTTTCAGGTAGAAAAGTTCCTTATGGAAGATGGAACATAAAGTCATAAGGCCAAGAGAACAGTGCGTTTGTTGAAGGTCTGATGTGTCCGCAGTCACACTGAGTCACTTTCTGCTTCCAGGAAAGGCCTATGCCCCAGAGTTCTATTATGACACCTACAACCCTGTGTGGCAAAACCGACACCGCGTGTATTCCTACAGTCTGCAGTGGACACAGATGAACCCCGATGCAGTGGATCGGATTGTTGCATACCGCTTGGGTATTCGGCAGGTAAGAAGTTTAGTACCTGTCTTGATTTGCTTTTGCTTTCTTTCTTGTTATCTCTTGTTGAGACTTTGATGTTGTCATTTTTTTATTCATATTTTCAATGTACTACAGAATTTTTTTAATTTCTAAATTCTATTTTATTTTATGACAATATTGCTTCACAGAGACTGCTCAGAATTAATTACCAATCTTTAAAATTAATCTATGCATTTTCTATTATTGCAGTAAACCTATTAAAGTAATATCCTTTGAGCCCATTGAAGGGATCTATCTCTAGATGTGTTCAAGAAATTACATTGTACAAAAGGAATTTAGGAGGGTCTTGTGTATACTTGATTGTATGAATTCATTGCCCTAGTCCTAAGATGCTTTGTATATTTTTACTTGAGGGTTCAAGCTATATACAGAATGTTTTAAAAGTTAGTATGCCTGAAGAATACAAATAATTTAGAAAATTAAAGGGTAATAAAGTAAATTATTCTAATTTAGATGAAGATTATGAATTGTATTAAAAAATTTATATATTCTTTTACACAAACACTGTGAAACTCAATGCTTGTTTATATCACTGACAATTTTGAAATTATATAGAGGTCTTCAACTTGTTTCATGTTAGAGAAATATTTTCTGTGTGAATGTTTCTACATGGCAAAATACTTTGAAACAAAATTTGAATCACATATAGATTTGTAGTACATGATCCAATTCCTTAACAAAAATCACAGAATGAAAATCTGAGTTGGGACAATAACAGAAAAAATTTGCTTTGGAGATCAACTGCTTAAGGCGTGTCTTAGTTAGGATTCCTTCTATTGCTGTGAAGGGACACCATGACCATGGCAGTTCTTATAAAGAAAACATTTAATTGGAGTGGCTCACTTACAGTTTCAGAGGTTCAGTCTATTATCATCATGGCAGAGAGCATGGTGGTATGAAGGCAGACATGGGCTGGAGCTGAGAGTCCCACATCTTTCAGTTAACAGGAAGCTTGGGCCAAAGAGAGCTCAAAGCCCACCCCCACAGTGAACCACTCCCTCCAACAAGGCTGCACCTCCTATTAGTGCCACTCCCTTTTGGGGTCATTTTCTTGCCAACTAAAATTCCTATCAACCTATCCAGCTGTTACCATAAAACTCTTCATTTTATCTTGTTCACATCATTTATAAGAAAATATCTAGTAATGCAAGGATCAAAGTAAGATTCATTATACATTATATATTCTTATACCAGACTTTTTCTTTAGGGCCACCAACCGGCTCCCAAATCATGACATGGACACTTATTACTAGTTTGTAATGCTTGGCCTTAGCTTCGCTCTTTTCTGGCCAGTTCTTTTAACTTAAATTAACCTGTTTCTCTTTATCTACCTTTGCCTCAGGGCTTTTTATTTTCCCTTCCTTCTGTTTATCTTACTGCCACTGCTTCTCATGTCTCCCTGGCTGGCTGGCGGCTGCCTGTCTTCTTGTCCCTGGTGTGTCTCTCTCTTTCACCCTCATTCTCTTCTTCTTTCATTCTTGGTCTCAATCCTCACTTCATCCTCCTACTTATTCTCTCTGCCTGCCAGCCCTGCCTATCTCTCTCTGCCTTATTGGCTATTCAGCTTTTTAGTAGACCAATCAGGTGCCTTAGGCAGGAAAGGTAAAACAGATGCAACACATCTTTACATAATTAAACAAATGCAGCATAAACAAATGTAGCACACCTTTACATCGTTAAAGTAATATTCTGCAGCATAAACAAGTGTAACACATCTTTACAAAGTTAAAATACTATTCTGCAGCATAGTCTCATCAACATTGGGTTTAATCTCAGAAACGTAAAATCATGCAAACACAGGGGCATTTGATCGACACAGCATTCTTATCTAGGTTATCACAGTTCAGTGATCAGCTGATCCCAGCCCGGTCAGAACCTGTCTCTTTCAGTGTCATCACATTTACAGGGGCAGCTGGGTATTCCCAGGTCCATTTCAAAATAGTGTCCTGCTTCTTCCAATTGTGTGCTTTTCCTTAATGAGGTTGATTGTAGCTGAAGGTTTTTTGTGCTCACCTGGCACCAAGGACCCCATAGCCACTTATAAAATAATCACTCAGAAGCTTATATTAATTAAAACTGTTTGGCCATTAGCTCAGGCCTACCATTAACTAGGTAGGCCTTACTTTTAACTTACATTTAATACTACCTTACATTTAAACTAACCCATAATTTTTATTTATGTTTAGCCACGTGGCTTGGTACCTTTTCTCATTTTTACCTTCACATCTTGCTTCCTCTTTGTCTGGCTGGCGACTCCTGACTCTTCCCAGCATTCTCTTCTCTGCTTGCCCCACCTATACTTCCTGTCTGGCTACTGGCCAATCAGCACTTTATTTATTAACCAATCAGAGCAACACAATCACAGCATACAGAGTGATATCCATAACAGTTGATCAACACAAGACATTTCAGACTAACACATCTTCCCCCCCCCCCCAGCTGACAGAGTTACCATTTCTATAGCCTTGCTTTCTAAACAATTACATTTATTTATTTATTTGGTATGTATGTGCAGAAATGCTCACACAGGAGACTGTATGCAGAGGTCAGAGAACAGCCTGCCGAAGTCACTTCTTTCATTCTGCCCTGTGGGTACAGGAGGTCAAACTCAAGTTGCCAGGCTTGGAGGCAAGCACCTTTACCTACTAAACCATCTCACAGGTCCCTTTCTATATTCTTAACATAGTTCTCAGTTAAAAGTATTTTCTCTTGGAAGCATCTTAGACCATTTTGTTTTTCACACCTCCTTGTCTTTTTATTTCAAGTCCTTACACATTGTTTAAACTTTCATATTCATGTCTTACTACATACTCATATACAAATGTGTACATTTAAACATACAGACCTAAAAACAAATGGTTATTTGTAAGAATAAATTTACTTTTGGTATCCTTCCCTGCTTTATTTCAGAGAGCTATTGTTTTGTTGTTGTTTCAACGTATGTGGGTGTTTTGCCTGCATGTGTGTCTGTATACCATGCCAGAATCTGGTGCCCATAGAGGCCAAAAGAGAGTGCCAGATCCCTTGTAACTGGAGCTATAGACAGTTATGAGCTATTATGCAGGTCCTGAGGCTCTAACCCATGTCCTCTGGAAGAGCAGTCAGTGCTTTTAACCACTGGGTCTTCTGTTCAGTCACACAAATGTATTTCCAATGTTAAAGTCAGAACTTTATCTTCAGTTTCTGACTGCATTTATATTTTCTTAGAGCAATTAGGTAAATTCTCATTACACTTGGGGGGCTTCCTTCTTAAGTCAGTGGGATTTACCCAGTTCTCCTTATCCTTTCCTCTTGTCTCAAAACTTGTGTTCCCACCTAATGTTCCTGTTACATATGCAAGTCAGAATCCTTTCCTATAAACAAAAGTTGAAAAGAAAGCTAGCTACCAACAAATGTTTTCCTATATTCAGACAAATGGAGAAATGTTTAGAAGAGAGGTTTGGGTCCATTTTCTTCATACTCATTGTAAGAGCCTGTTCTACAGTAGGATTGTTGCTGGAATGGCTATGTGTTTTTCCCAGTGACACTGTCTCCCTTTAAAATGTGCTTTTCTGAAATGAATGTATCCACAGAATCCATGCTGATATGTTTCTTGATCCCAGTTCTGGAATAACCACCCAACATACTGGGACGTACATTTCCTCATCACTTCACTGTTCCTTTCCCGAAGTTCGTTAAACAGTGTTCTATTCTGCTTCTATTCCAAGATCATTCAAATATGATATGTGTATATAAATTTCCCTTTCATATACCTTTGAAAATAATGAATTCTATACACCTCTAGCTTCCAAGTCTAGACAGCCTAAGCCTCATCATTTTTACTTATATAACCCTGAGCATGTTTCTGAACTCATCCAAGTCTGAGATCTTGTCCAGTAAATTGAACATAACAATATCTTGCAGTGATCCGGACCAGGTCTCCACTTATCGACAGTTCAAGTGCTTATGCACAGAGCACTCCTGGCAAATCTTTGTAGGCATTCTTGTACTAATTGGCAAGTTGCTATAATTTTTTTCCAGAGCTCACTGTAGCTTAAATTTTTGTGCTGTATTTTACTAGGCATGCCAAAATACCCCATGCCTCAGTATGATTCCCAGCCACGCTTTTAAAATAAACTAATATGCAGACATTTTCTCATTGTACTTTTCTTATTTTTATTTCAACCCCATTATCTCTCCCCTGTGAGATCCATTTTGCTGGTGCACATTTGTCTCATCTACTTTGACTCCTGTTAAAGCATTCTTGATCACCCCAGTCTGCACTGCTAATACACAAGGCAGTACTGCTGCAGCGAATCATATTTCTACCGAGTGGCATCCAGACAGCAAATCATTTTCCCTGCACTGTTTTGAATCTGTTGCCTTATCATATCACTATTTTTCTGGCCTTATTTGTTACTAGAATTCTAGAATTTTCTTTATATTTATAAATAAAGTTGTTTTTCTTTTGGGTTTTTTTTTTGTTGTTGTTGTTTTGTTTGTTTGTTTGTTTGTCTTTGTTTTTTGACACAGAATCTCTCTAGATAGCCTTGGCTGTTCTGAAACTGACAATAAAGATCAGGCTGGCCTTGAACTCACAGAGAGCCACCTGCCTCTTCCTCCCAGTGTGCTGAGATTAGAAGTGTGTGCCAACATGCAAGATCTAAAAATAAACAGTCTATTCCTGGTGTGATTACTATGATACTTTGTCTTAAGTGATAATTTTACTCAAATATTACACCTTGCTGTGGAAGAAACACAATGGTTCTTTTGAGGCTGTCTCAGTATAGAATCATGTTCTTTTGATCTCAGCCAGTGTGAACAGGCAGGTGGTGTTTGTGAGGACAAGAATATGTACATACATTTCTTTTCTCACTGCCCTGTTCATTACATCCAGGTCTCATGAATAGCCTACAGGCTGAACACTCTCATCAAGCAACATCACCCTTGAAGTTCCACTTACGGGCAGAATTATAACATAACACAAA